GAAAAAAAGGAAGGAAGGAAGAAAGAAAGAAAAAAAGAAAGAATGAAGGAAAGAAGGAAGAAAGAAAGAAAGGAAAGAAAAAAAGGAAGGAAGGAAGGAAGAAAGAAAAAAGAAAGAATGAAAGAAAGAAAGAAAGAAAGAAAAAAAGAAAGAAAGAAAGGAAAGACCAACTATAACCACTCTGTAGAATTTAAGGTTCCTTTGTTGAAGGCTAAAGCCTAAGGTTGATGGGGACTTTTAAGACTTCTGGGTCTGTCCCTTTTCACCACCCTCATGGCCGCTTTCCTTTTCTTTCCAGAGTCCTGTGTTACAGTACTTGTTTTTCTTAGCCCAGATTCCCATCGCCATGTCACCGTTAAGTAACAACAGCCTGTTTCTCGAATATGCAAAGAATCCTTTCTTGGATTTCCTCCAGAAAGGCCTGATGATCTCACTGTCAACCGACGACCCGATGCAATTTCATTTCACCAAGGTACACGCCGAAGCGTGAGCAATTCAAGTGTGTTTTGCTGCGCCATCTTTACATAGGATGTGCATTGTTTCTTTACTAAGACACCCCTCTCCTTCTTTGCATACATAACTACAGGAGCCCCTGATGGAAGAATATGCCATTGCTGCACAAGTCTTCAAGCTGAGCACCTGTGACATGTGTGAGGTGGCCAGGAACAGTGTTCTGCAGTGTGGAATTTCTCACGAGGTAGACTGGATTGTAGCTGACTGCCCTTCTGAGCATTGGGGTCTAGTGATCTAAACATTGAAACATTAGTGGAATGCCGGGTGGTGGTAGTTCATGGCTTTAATCCCAGCACTAGGGAGGCAGAGGCAGGTGGAGCTCTGTGAGTTCGAGGCCAGCCTGGTCTACAGAGTGAGTCCTAGGACAGGCTCCAAAACAACTGAGAAACCCTGTCTCGAAAAATAATAATAATAATAATAATAATAAAGAAAAGAAAGAAAAAAAGAAAAATTATTGGAAATGAGGGGCGTGAGGAAATACATGAATACATGAGGAGAAGCTGATGCACAAGCCAGTTGCTGTGGCTAGGGACTAGAAAAGACTATCCTGGGCTGGGGATATAGTTCAGGGAAGGGTAGAGCCTAGAAGGCTCTGATTTGAATCACCACGCCTCCCCCACTGAGTTCTGTCCTCTGGCCATGTCTCTCAGGAAATAATACATTTGATTTCTCGGGGAACATGCACACAGAGGCACCAAATGAATGGCTCACTGTTTTTCCTTTGGTTTATGAGTAACATGAAGATTACGGTGGAGGATGTGATCACCGACTACCCCAGTGGGGGAAGGAGCCACTGAGCTTTCTCCTCCCGTTGTCTTACAGGAGAAAGCAAGGTTCCTGGGCAATAATTACCTGGAGGAAGGCCCTGTTGGAAATGACATCCGGAGGACAAACGTCGCTCAAATTCGCATGGCCTATCGCTATGAGACCTGGTGTTATGAACTCAACTTAATTGCTGAGGGTCTTAAACCAACAGAATAAATAAAGAAACTGGATAATGCTGTGAGTGAGTGGGGTTTTCACTGAGAGTCTGAACCCTGTAGTACCAGTTATGGCGACCCTACTCTTAAAATAAGGCAAGCACTGTATTAAGTGTTTCACTGATATTTCATTTACTCAGTTCCTTTCACGCCTTTGTACAGTAGATATAGTTTCTATTTTGGCGATAATGAGCAAATGTAAATTCACTAGATAAAGTCCTCAAGATAGCCTTTGTGAGGGACGGGGGTTGGGGGCGCGGGGGGGGATGTAAGTTTGTGTGACTCCAGAGTCTGCACTTTTAGGCAGGAGAGTTATCAGAGGTAGCCAAGGACACGAGCCAGGGACCCAATGCTGAGAGATGGCGGACTTTAGGACTATAGAAACAGAACACAGTTAAGGCACCTGGATCCATTTAAAAGTTCTTTGAGAAAGCTTAAGTCCACCAGGGCTTTCTTCCACAAAGTCAGAACAGTTTAGAAAGTTTAGAAAACCGGCATTTGTGAGCAGTACGGAGGGAAGATTTATTCTAGCTGGAGACTGTCAACTTGCTGAATCAGGGATGCCTGCAAGATATGGCGGCACACGCCTTCCGTCCCAACACTCTGGAGGCAGAGGCAGGCAGATCTCTGAGTTCAAACAAACCTGGTCTACACGGTGACTGTCAGGATAGCCAAAGCGCTGCACAGTGAAGCTCCATCTAGAGGGAGAGACAGAGAGACAAGGATAGAGATGCTGGGCACTTCAGGTCAGGAGATGCTCAGGTCATCCGGATTACACTTGTTCACACACAACTGCGTTGCCATCTAGTGGTTAGGTTGATATTTCACTCAGTTTATTTAAAAAAGTGGTTATAGACCAAGCTATCAGATACCATCATAGACACCAACAGTGAAAAGACGTTTTTATTCTCCTTCAAGCTGATCACCCTTGAGGCTACAGGATATGTGAAAAGGGAACTCCTCAAGACATCTCAGAATGGAGTGAGAGCAAATTCATGCATGTTTTCCCTTTCTGCACAAGTAGCCGTGAGCTTAGGTGTGTCCCTTAGGACGTGTTTGTACTAGCGGTGGTGTAAGACTCCTCTTCCTGGTTTCTGAAGTTAAAAATTCTGTTTGGTGAGGGTTTATTTGCTAAGAACCCGATTTTATGTTGACTTCCTAGTCACCAAAATAATATAAATCACTGAATATTATTCTCAGACTTACACAGTAGTAAGACAGTTACTACTAGAGCCATGGGAGGGCAGCAGAATACACACGGGAATTCATTTATTCCGCTCATCTTGGAATCCCAGGCTCCTTCATTCTGCCAAAGAACCTTCCTGGATGCAAAGTTCAAAACATGAATTTCAAAAACACTGCTTGAGTCCCAAATTTCATCTTGTACAACTTATCTGGGATGCTTTCCAAATCGATTAGATTAAAAGTCGGCTGTGATGGCTCTTGCCTGTGTTGGCACTCCGGAAGCAGGGGTGGGAAGACAAGAAGTTTGAGGCGGGCCAGCCTGGGCTACACCGTGAGACGCTAAAAAAAAATCTATAAAAAATAATAATACACACATCTACGTACAAAGACGACATACACTTTAGGTAAGGGAGTGATGAAGTTCAGAAAGACCAATGTCTATAATTTATTCCAAACAAGATTCACATTATTTCCTCACTAGAGTTTTTTAAAAAGGTACCGTCGTTAGTTCTCCCTCACCAAAGAAAGTAAACCGTATTGTCCCTACCTCATGACTTCACAACGGATTGGGGCATGCTGCCGTTTTTGTCTTTGCTAAATTGGCTGGCGACAGTCATCCGTGATGTGTAATCAAACACCTCTCTGTGGTAGTCTTCTATTTTGGTACTTCTGTGTGAACAAGCGAGGGAAACTTGATTACCAGACACAGGTCTGATGCGGTGGGGTGGGGTGGGTGGGGCGGTTAGATGGGCTGGGAACTAGGCTCCACTCATCCCAGTCTCGCAGAGTGAAACTGGGCTACTCTTGCAGCAGGCACAGAGCCATGTGCATACCTGAGCAAGATCGTGTTGCCGGCAGGAGCGCTTAAGCGTGAGTCTCAACCGGGTGTGGCGACCTGGTCGGCACGGGGAGTGGGCATCAAAAGCATCCGGCTCGGGAGTCCAAACCCGGGGCCAGGTGCGTTACTGGCATCTCTCTACTAACTAATGTTCCCAAGGAATGTTTGCTCACTGAGTTGCTTTATGGTTTTCTTAAAGGAGGTGCTGTTTGCTCCTGATACAACTAGGCTCTCCCTCGAGGTACGGGTCCGTCGCGTGTGGTTGGTTCGACTGCAGATCCGGAAACAGTTTTGGCTCCGCCAAGCTTGGGCCAAGGTCGCAGCAGGGAACCAACGAGCACTCTGGCGCACTAGAGTCGGGGGGCGGAGAGACCGCCAGGCGTGGGTTTTGGGCAGGGTGCAGGGTGCAGAGGAAGGGCGGAGCCTGTGGATGGGCGTGGGGCGTGTCCAGGCCAAGAAGGGGCGCGTTCGAGGGCGGGGACTGCGATCTGCGGGGGCGGGACGAAGAGGCCAGAGTTGGATCCCAGAGGCCACAGATGCGAGTCTCGGATCCTTGCGGGAGTCGGTGTCGCGGCCCAGGCAGGTAGGCGACGGGATGCGGCCGGGGAATGAGGCGGCGGGGCCTCGGTTTCTCAACTGTAGGCGTTGCCCCTGGGGCGTCCCGTGTGCGTGTGCCAGTGGTCTCCAGGGAACTGGGCACCTTGGGCCAAGGGAAGGCGGGTGGCAGCCTGCGTGCGAGCCGCAGGCGCGGTCGGGGGCGCGGGCGGAGGAGCCGGGGCGCTCGTCACCCTGAGGAAACGCGCCTTTCAGGCGGTCTTGAACTTGGACGTGCCCGGACGGTGCACTTGAAACAGCGGTAAAGAGTGTATGCGTGCTCTTTGCCTCCAAACAGTCTGGCAGGCTCAATAGTGGAAGTCGTCAAGTAGTTTTTTAAGTAAAAAAAATTCAACAGTGGGCCTGGAAGTACAACCGTGGAGTAGCCAGGAGAGAAGATGATGATTAGATTATGAGTCAGTAGGCTCCACTCTGGAGCTCCGGCCCACAAACAAAACGTCGCACCTCCACCAGAGTAACTTTTCCCAGCTTATTTCCCCTCAGTGTAAAACTGGGACGCCCATGGGTGTTCTCATGGTCAAAAGACAGGAGTGACCGCGTTCTGCAGATGTCAGGCATTGTTTGATATACACATGCGCCCTGGAGCATGTATAGTCTGTGAAACTACTAAGTGCTGAGCGCACAGTAGGCGCCCCGTAGACCTTTATCTCAAAGCTGGTGATTCGCCTACAGTACGTTAGATAAGTTCTAACTTCTGTCTACTATGTAAATAAGCTATTTACGCTTCTTTTCCACACAATCACCATTGTTTGGAGAGTGGATCTATTCTTAACAGAGCCATGAACTTTTCTAAAATAGCATACTATCTCTATAGTGTTGTGGAATCATTTGCCATGAAAGTTTGTACCAATCAGAGAGAGACTCTTTTCCTCGGCCTTAAATAAAGTAGTCACAGTTGGAGATATCTGATCAAGTGAGCTGAGAGGATTGCTTCAAAGCAGGACTTAAATTTGTTTTTGCAAATTGAGGGGCTGTTTATAGGAAGATCTGAATCTTCTAAAGCAGTTAATATGTAGCTGTGGGTTTTGTACAGTTTTTGTTATAGATGGCTGTGTCCTTTCCTTGTACAAATTTAGGGGGAGATGGGAAATTAAAAAAAGGAATAGCAGGCTGTAACCAGGAGGCTTCTATTAGGGGTACTTACGGGTGCCTGGAGTGTTTCAAAGGCAGAAACCTGGAGCTGCAGTAATTGTCTCGTGGCCTTCCCTTAGTTTGTCGAATGTGGCAGTAGACTTTTTTTTTTTAGACTCAGAAATATCAGTGCTTTTGATGGAGAACCGTAGGCAGCCTCTTTCCTTTTCTAATTTAAAATGTAAAATTAGGAATGTGGATGTAGCTATTGGTGATGTATGTACCTACCACACACAGAGTCCTGGGTGCAGTCCCGGTACTTCGTAAACTGGGCATGGCGATTCCCACCTCCCACCCCAGCATAAGAGAGGTACACGCTGGGGTTCAAAAGCTCAGGTCATTGATTGTATGGTGAGTTTGAGGCCAGCCTGGGATACGTGTGACTCCACTACCGTGCAGAACAAAACAAAATAAAAAATTCCTCCTATTAGAGGGTTAGAGAGATGGCTTGGGGCGTGAGGGCACTTGCTGCCTAGTCTGAAGACCTGAGTTCAGTCCCCAGGATGTGTAGAAGGAGAGAACCAGCTCCTGCAGATTGTCCTCTGACCTCCAAATGTATCCCACCACATTGCCTCCCCCACAAAGTAATTAATAAAATTTATTCATTATATGTGTGGGCACACAGGGCACACACACACAGGACACACGTTTAGAGGGCAAGAAACAATTCGTGAGACTTAATTTTCTTCTTCTGTCCTCTGGGTTCTGGGATGTGAATTCAGGCTCCGTGGCAAGCACCCCTCCCTGCTGAGCTGTCTCATTGGCCCTTCTATTCTCTTGCTTTGTAGGTTGAATCTAGGGTCTTGTGACTGCTAGAACTCTACCACTGAGCCACACCCCCATCCCCAGCTGGAAGTCGTATAATTATTACTATTTGGTTTTTTCGAGACAGGGTTTCTCTGTAGCTTTGGTGCCTGTCCTGGAACTAGCTCTTGTAGACCAGGTTGACCTCGAATTCACAGAGATCCGCCTGCCTCTGCCTCCCGAGTACTGGGATTAAAGGCGTGCGCCACCACTGCTCGGCTGAAATCATATGACTTTTAAATGATCTGTAGTGGTCCTTTTGCTATAGGCAAGGGTTTTAAGTACTGTATACCATAGTGGAATTAAGTGGAGGACTAGAGGGGAAATTACTAGTAAATAATTTTGTGTTCTTTTAAGAGTTTTCTTTGTGAGGCTGGAGAAAAGACCCAGTGACTAAAAGCACTGGATGCTCTTTCAGAGGACCTGAGTTCAGTTTTCAGCACACATGTCTGGTAGTGTTCAACTGCCTGAAACTCCAGCTTCGTGGGATCTGATATCCTTTTCAGCCTTCCACAGATGTATATGTAGAATATGCTCACATAGATATATATATATTAAAATTAAAAAATGAAATTTATGCCCTGGCAATGCTGAAGCCTGTATATTGCAGCTCTGTTGAACTTGTCCATGTTGGGTTTCATGGTCTAAGTTGATGAGGACAACTGACCAGGTCACTTTCTCAAGAGAGCACCAGATCTCATTGCAGATGGTTGTGAGCCACCGTGCAATTGCTGGGAATTGGACTCAGGACCTTTGGAAGAGCAGGCAGTGCTCTTAACTGCTAAGCCATCTCTCCAGCCACACACACACACACACCCACACACACGTAAATAAAAAATAAATCTTTAGTCTAATATAATGGCACATGCCTTTAATCTTAGCACATGGGAGGCAGAGGAAGTGTATTTCTATGAGTTCAAGGCCAGCCTAGTCTACATAGTGAGTTTCAGGCTAGCCAAGCTATTATGGTGAGTTTTGTTTTAAATTAAAAAAAAACTTATAGAAAAACGTTTTATTTTAACATTTTCAACAATCCAGTGGGAAAATAGGTGTTTTGAAACTTTTGTTTTGTTTAGTTTTTGAGACAGGTTGGCCTTATGTAGCTCAGGCTATCCTCAAACATACAGTAAATTCTGTCTAGATCCGAGTGCTAGGATTGTGTTTGCCACTGTGATTGTCTAAAACTATTTTTCAAACCAGCTTTAAGCATCTTCTGCATAATGAATTTACTGAAAATTTATTTGTTGATCTTATAGGTCTAACTAACACCTTGTATTTGTTTTACTTACTGAGCAACTATCAAGGCATAGTTGAGAACCTACACTGTCGGCATGCATGGGAAGGAGGCCCCCCTTCCTGGGAGCGTATGTGCTCCTTCTGCTGAGTGGGCTAAGAAAGTACCGGAAGCCATTTGGAAAGCTCAGTGCAGGCAACGTCCTGAATTTATTTTGTGTATTAGCTTTTTAGCCTCACAGAAATGTACCACTGAGGGATGCTGTCATCATGAGAGGCACAGAGAAGACAAGTAACCGCCTGCCACCAGGCCAGGCAGCAGAGGTGTCAGGCTGCAGTAATCCTGAGCCCAGCTCAGTCTCTGCTATATATTGAGTTTCAAATTCTGTAAGACACAGTGAAATCCAACAGGTATTTAAAAGACAGAATTTTTGTGAATCTCAGACAGGCAGAGAGAGAGAGAGAGAGAGAGAGAGAGAGAGAGAGAAAGAGGGTGGGAGGGAGAAGAGGAGGAGGGACAGACAGAAAAACTGGTATTACAAGATATAGAGGCATGTCCAAGCTACAATTTAATTATACTTTGTATGTAAAACTTTTTTTTTCTTCTGGTGAATGACATGGGATTCTTCTTGTTTTTAAACTCCCAGCCACTTAGGGCATTATCTTAGCAATATAAGATGTGCCTGTTTTCAGTAAGGAGTTTAAAATACCTGTTCTCAAACCATGACTTAAATGTTAGAAGCAGGAGAAGGAATGTCCCAGTCATGGTGGTTATACCTGTAACCCTAGCACCTGGAAGACTAAGACAGGAGCCAGGGAATTTTGTAGGCTGGCTTGGGCTAAGTAGGGAACTCTGTCCCCAAACAATAAATAAAGCCACTATAGTTTTAGTATTATAATAGAGGTATAAATATAATTGAACGGGAAACAATGTGGTGGGGGGAGGGCTGTAGAAAAGGTGGAATCAATACCATATTTGAATTGATTTTGAGGGATGATTAGGAGTCTGTCCAGCTTGGGGAAGGTATGGATGAGGGCCAGGACTCTTTGTGATGTACGGTAAGTTCGAGAAACACGTTCTGGTTACGAAAGTCAGAGGTCCAGAGATGGGTGGTTGGGCTAAAAATAATGTAGAAAAAGAAAATTGCAGAGCACGGTTGTTTATTACATTAGATCACTGCAATTGCTAGGTAAGTGTGGGGGGTTTAGGCCCCCTGACTTGGAATAAAGAAATGAGTGATTAAGTTCAGCTCGGAAAAATCTTTCACTGTAGCATATGGTATTGAAGTTGTTTTTTTTAAAAAAATACTTTTTAAGTAACATGAATTTTTAACAAATACATAGTGTAAAGCTATGATTCGGCGGGGGCAGGGGGATGAGTCTGTTGACACCAGTTATTGGAGAGAATCTGTGTGTGAGGACTTTGCAACTGAGTCTAGAGACAATGGAGAGCCAGAGAAGGGTTAGCAGTCATTAGACAAGATTACACAGTGATGGTTCTGTGTGGTGGCTGGATTGAGTGAAGCCAGGCAAAAGGCAGGGAGATAGGTTTGGAGGTTGATAAGATGAATAGGCCAAGTTGGCTGCTGAAGTACTCCTGGCGGGGCAGATGAGGATCTGGACGAAAAGGAGAGGGCAGTCATGAAGGCAGGGGGTGGGGAGTGTTCAAGAATCCATTAGCGGAGGAGCAAAAAAAGGCAATGACTTTGTTTCTTAGCTTGGAAAAATCAATGACGACAGAGG